CATCCTAGATTTATGTTAAAATAAGTTTAGTAGCTTATGCCTCGCAACATTGGAAACATGGCTTGAGTTTGCATTAATTATATCGTCACAAAAGTTTGTTTTGGTTTTATTGTCTGTAATTTTGGTCTTAAACTAAAACTGAAATCGTCATGTAATTGGTCTCAAACCTTTTGGTCGGATGAGTATTTCGTGGCATGACAAATTGAAAATATTGAAATTATCCTTCATTGTGGTCTAGTGAGGGGATTTTCCATGCCTCTGTTTTCTTCCCTTATTTTGTTTATAGCCCTGTTTCTTTTCCCTTATTTTTGTTTGAGTGAATCAGCACAATTAGAAGCCTCAATAGTCTGTTTGACGATAATCTTCCCAATTATCCATCAAGTTGGGTGACCTCTCAAATTCACGGAAGCTTGTATGTTCCGAATCAACTTAAACAAGGCTAAGCTGAAATTTTGTGACTGCACAATTATGTATATAGTTTGTCGGATTAGATATTTTTGAGGGAGGGCATGTTTTTCCCCAAATTTTTTTTTTCCTTTGTTTTGATTGGAATTGTTCCGAGGATTGCCCTTTGTCTGTTCCCCTCAATGTTCAAACAGTAATGAATTTTTTTTCGAAGCAATAGTAATGAAATTTAATCAATAGAGAAAAGAAAACCACGAGATTTCAGACACAGCTTGATTCTCTATCCCCCGAGGGGTCAAATCTATTAAACATATTATTCAGGCAACGCGTATATTTGTTGAAGCCTTGAAGGTACACAACTATATTTGTCCCCAGTGGATTCTGGGATTGCAATTAGAGTTCTACTACAAGTAACAGAATTAAGAATGCAATATGAATGGGAGAGTCATTCCATTGGGGCATGGACAGCACAGAGTTGCCTTTGATATGGGGATATATTACCCTATCAACTCGTGGAAATATTCGATATTTATTACACGACCTAATCACCTAGGGTGCTGCTTGGGGATAATAGTAATAATATACTCTTAAAAGATTCCCTCGTTTAGTTCTACGAACGATCAATTATGTCATGAGGGCATCCACATTAGAGTGTAATTCACATATCACATCAGCATTCAACTATCTTCTCTTTTATTATACTCACATTCAATATATATTACACTCCACATGGTATATATGATAGTATGGGTTCACAATCAAATCAAATATTATTTTAATAATGCACAACTTATATTCCGTAAATAAATAAAGTAATTTTTTAAAAATAATTTCATTATTTTTTAAAAATAATTTATTAAATTTCATTAAATTTTTTCCCTTTTGGATTTTTTATTTTCTAAAAAATAATATTATTAAATTCTGAGTTTGAACAACATATCTTTTTCTATCTCTCAAAGAATAATATATTGTTATTTTTTGAAAAATAATTATGTAATTATTAAACAAATATGTGATACCTCAAATGTGAAAATATCATAATAATCCATACTTAATTAATAATTCTCTATGTAATTAATTGAACTCCATAACATAATATTACATAATTTAATCAAATAAAATGCATATAATAACTTAATGAATACCAGTTTTCATTGTTATTGCCTCCGAACCGTTTCCAAATATGCTCGACCAAGTCCGATCGAAGTTCATGATGTAGTTTTCGACCACGTAATTCCGCGTGCAAAGAGGTTGAGAAAAATAAATGAGAGAGTAAGAGAAATAATAGAGTAGGATAATGAGATATATATATATATATATATATATATATATATATATATATAAGGTGTCTTGTGTGTTTATATAGAGAGAACCAAAAAATGACCGTCTAAAAAAAATTGAACGTTAACTTGCACCATGAAATTTCAGCTATTGTCCATGTTTAATCAAATTTATTCGTTGCAAAAAAAGATCCACTATCTCCTCTTTTTCAGCAGCATTTACACGTATTATTCTGATGATGCGTGTAATGCTCATTTCATGGCTTTTGTGGCCATGTAATGAATCTATACCTCCCATGACATGCTATTGGAGTTGCGTTGAGTCCAACAGCATTACCAACACATTTAAGACGATGTTGTAGCATGTACCTTTTTTTTGACACATTATATCATATGCCTTTGGATGTTACATTTGTGTTACACTTTAGTTTATGGATTAATCTTATATACGCTGTCAGTATATACACTATCACCATTAGATATATGACACGTGTAAATTTGAATTTAAAATTCAAAATTTGATCATATGTCATCCATTCAACCTTGATAGTGTATACACTGACAGTGCATACAAAATTTACTCTTAGTTTAATGTGAGTCTTGTACTTTACACATGTAAAGAATTTAAGTAAATGGACCAATGTCATATTAAAACATATAGTGCAATATGACTCAAAACTTTTAAGATAAAATTCAAAATCATTTATTACTGATCATATTTGTTCTGGGTTTATTTAACGAGTGCCTATTTTAATAGGGATTCATTAACACGCTTGAATTCCACTCGATCTGTCATATATATATATATATATATATATATATATATATATATACTAACAATTACTATCTTTCATTATATTTTTTCACTTTTTCTAGTTAATTTTTCCAAAATCTAACACCTGAAATATTGGGCACCTGTTAGACATTTTCTGTTATTCTTGGGTCATGTCAAACATATATTAGCATCGCATGTTTATCCGTGTTCCATTCCATGCTTCATGCGTGCTGCCGCACTACTGTGAGTGAAACAGGATCATAGAAGAATCGAGTGATGAATGTCTGAGAACTTTAACAAATGAAGCAATTGCAAATATATAACCTAAAGCATCCCTGTTTAAAGAGCCTTCCAATTTTCATTCTGAACTTCTTCTCTCTTTTTTTAATAAATGAAATTTGATTTTTCAATTTTCTGTTTGTACCAGACAGCATTAAATCTGGCTTACTTAGTGCTTAAGATTTCTCAACAAATTTTCATTTTGCCTACCCTCCCCCCCCCCCCCTTTTCTCTTTTCCGCTTGAAGATAAGTTAACAAAAGAATCATTTCATACAAAAATGTAGAAAAGAAGAAACCACGCAACTCAATTCATGCAGCACCTCTCCTACACAAGTCAATTTAGCATCATATACCTTTTTCAAGACCTCTGTTTCTTGGATTCGAAGGTCATTCATATGCTCACAATCAACAAAATAAAATAAAAAAATCACCTGAGTCGATTCTACGCATCAAGTATTTGATATTGACGACTCATTGTAATGAGGCCACACATTCGAACTAAAGATCATCTGCCAGTACTAAAATGAATGTAGAAGCAAAAAAGAGATAAGGGATGAGCAGCTAGCTTGTTATTCTTTCCTTTACCCATGCAAAAGAAACTCTTAACATTCCTCATCACGTTCCTTCGTTCCTCGGGCATCCTCTATTGGCTTGGTCAAGACATTATATATTTAAACAACCATCCAAAATATATCCTGTTCATCATCAATCTTTCCTCAAAACATTTGTCACTTACAACTGCCACAAAAAATTTTTTTTTTTTTTTTATAAAAAAAAAGTATCATGAGCTCCTCGTACCCATTACCAACTCATGCTAACCCTAGTCCGCAAAACCAGCCGGTCAAGCGGCACCACTCTGCCCGTTACTACGCCCATAGGGTGCGAGAAAGCTTAGCAACGAGGGTTTCCAAGCTCGTCTGCTCCATTTTCTTGTTCTTTCTTTTCTTGATTGGCGTGATCACATTCATCTTGTGGTTAAGTTTACGCCCGCACAGGCCAAGATTTCACATCCATGAATTTTCAATTCCAGCTATTGCCCAAGGAAACGGGTTTGAAAATGCCCAGATAGATTTCAACGTCACTGCCCGTAATCCAAACCGGGCGATTGGGATCTTCTACGATGCAATGCACATTTCAGTAACTTACGATGATCAAGGCATTGGGGCTACTTCTTTGTTGTATCCATTTTACCAAGGGCCCAAAAATACCACAGTTCTTGCTGGTAGCTTGAGTGGTGCTACATTAACCGTCACCAATCAAAGATGGCAGCAATTTTTAGCTGATCGATCACAAGGAAGGGTAATTTTCAAGCTTGATGTAACCTCGACCATTAGATTCAAAATTTCTTCGTGGGATAGTAAGCATCATACCCTGCATGCTAATTGTCCGGTTGGAGTTGGCCCTGATGGCACCATCTTGCCTGAGTACAAAGATAAAAGATGTCCTGTTTATTTCAGCTGATTAATCTGGATTAAGAGAGGAAATCCCAGATATTTTTTTCTTTTCTTTTTTTTTGGTTTAAAAAAAATTATTATTAGTGATTGTGAATTTGATGTAAGATTCGATGTTACTGTGATCAAAATTGATGTATACCTGGAGAGGTGGCATTTCGTGGGAACATGTTTCTCAGAACTCAACTTTCTCAAACGCTTTTTACTTTTTCTGTATCTACGACAGTTTTAATCAATGACGGTCATGTTCATATACTACATGATTCGACGCACTGTTTGTTTCTAGTTATATGCTTTAAGAAACAAATGAAGCTTAACCTAAAATACTAATTAAGGAAATTACATTTATTAAACAGAATTCAGATGAGGAAAACCTTTTTAATTACCATAAAATTTTTTGGAAATAGCTCACACAATTGCATGCCAAATTACAGGATTTTTCTAACGACGCTTAGTTAGCAGTCATTTGCACATTAATTTATGCAAAATTTATCATATGAATGTACTTTTTTTTTTTCCGGTAACGTTAGAAGAAATCATATGAATGTACAGACTCACATTTATTAGACAAAACCTAAATTATATAGGTAAATTTATTCTATTCTGACAATTAATGTAGTTCGATTTCAAAATGGTTAAGCAAATACATCATGTGACTAATACCATTTCAATGTTGTAAAATCAAGCAATTGAGATTAATTATAGCTCTATCATTTCCAGTGAAACAAAATGGTAATATTAGAAATTTTTTTTTTTGGCCCTAGAAAGAAAGATGTCGAAATCTAGCATACGGTCATTTGGCAGCAACTTTTAGTATTTGGTTTGTGTCCTTAGGGGAGCAAATTAAATCCCTCCGATGAGAGGTTCTAAATTCTAATATGCCACTTGGCAGGGAAATTAACAAAGCAAGTGTAAAATAGTCATGCCAGAAAATGCAGTAGAATATTCAGATATTTAGGTGGCTTCTAAATAGATTCTGATTAGAACAGAGGGAGTGTGTAGGATATATATATATGTATATATTTCTGCTTTCGATGAAGAAATGGGAGGAAAAGTGAAAACAAAAACAAAAATAAAAGGGAAAAAAAGAAAAAGAAAAAGAAGGAGCCTTCTCTTATTCCTGGTCTCGATGGGGTGGGGCTTGGGAAGATGACCAAACTGCATTTGGATTTTGGAATGGCTTCCTTGAGCGAGTCACGTCTCAGATTCCTTTTATCTAAGCACTCAAGGCTTGGCGCATCACTAAAAGTGAAAGAAAAGCATCGCTTCGGCCTTGGCAGGCATGCCTTCACAACATCAACTAAACCAACCCCATCTCTTCACAACGGTTCCAGATGCTTAACTACTTGGCCTTGTGCTATAACTTGTTTTCTCGTCACCCACCGCCTCCAAATCCCTCAATCTACAGTGGAAGTCAAAAAACAAAGATAAGATGGTGGAAGTCACGAGCTTCAAACTCTGGATTTCCCAAATCATTATCCTTCTGGGATTGCTAGCCTTCGTCATGTGGCTAAGCATCCGCCCGAAAAGCCCCGACTACACCATTACTAAGTTCTCAGTTGAGAACGGCAACATAGAGTATGCCTTAGAGATTGAAAATCCCAACAAGGATTCAGACACCTACTTTGACGACTGCATCTTGACTTTTTACAACAATCAGGACTCCATAGCTTCCACAACCATACCGCGTTTCTCCCAAGATAAAGGGGAAACAACACCAAAAATAGGAGTTGTCTATGTGGATGCAAAGGTGTGGGAAGCATTGCACGACCAAATATCAAATCGAAAAGCTCAATTGCAGGCTGCTTTAGCTTCCAAGATTCGATATCGAACCTGGGGAATTAAGAGCAGGCGTTACGGAGTGCACCTGAAAGCCCAGTTACCGATTGGATCAGACGGCAAGATTCCAAGCAAGACCAAGATGCATAATGGCTGGAAGAAATGGAGAATCAGATTCACGTGAATCATATCATATCACAGGTAAAGTGGTTAACTAGTCATTGTTTCAAGATTATGTAGACAGATAGAGTGTCATGCAGGAGTTGGGTACGGCTGCAGATGTAAATTTAAGCTAAGGGATCATACATTTCCGATCAAAACTAGCACATTCCACATGAAACAACGTTCGACATGAATCACACCCACACGAAGCCTCCTACTCTATGATTCGGACATGATAAATGAGCCAAGAATAGAGATTGAGCGTGTTTTCAGAAAATGGAGGCTCCTGAAATGACTCAGATTGATTTCTCCAATTGAAATTAAGGTACCCCAGGCATAACCTTCCTCAGTCTGCCCCCCGTGCAAAATCATAATCCTAATTTCAAACGTCTACTGCAAGAGATGAATGCAATTAAAGATGTTTAATTACTACAAATCTTTTGGAGGAAAGCAGTTTATTACTTCGTCAATTAACATATGAAACAAGCTCAAGCGGATACAAAGAAAATATTCGGGTCATGCTAATTGCTTTACAGCCTCCTAAGGAATGATATATTACTAATTATCCTCAGCTAAACATAAGAATACTTTTGGCAGGCACTGGAAAAAACTTGAAGGATGCAGACCAAACTCGTCAAATTTAAAACTTTTGCAGTTTTCTAACCTCAAAAATCCATTTAAAGCAGATGTTCTGAGTAAATCAGTTCATTATATGGATAAAAGTTTCTACTGAGTTATAGACATGCTAGTAAAAATTACGGTAATTCCAATTACATTACACCTATCAAAAGTCTCACCCTGTTTCATAACATAAAATGATGCACAGACAAAAGTTTCTTCAAGCCACTAGCTATTTCAGCAGTTTTGTATCCATGTCATCGAGAACCAAGGATAATCATGGCAGTCGCACAAGGTTAGCCATCAAGATCTCAACAGTAGCAGTGATTCCCTAAGACGCACGCAGGTTTCCTACTTGAATGTCTGACGTTGAGCAGCAACTTGTCTTCGCCATTTCCCAATTGGCATCTGCAGCAAAAGCCCATGGAAAATCTTTCCACAATTACATTAACAATATTAAAATCCTTCTACAGGAACTACATTCAGAATTATTAACCAATTATCCTTTTTTTTTAGGGATAAAGCATTTCATTTATTTCCTTTGGATAAAACATGATTCTGATTTCTAAGTAGCAAAATATCAAGACACTTACAGCAGGGAAGCCACCATAATCCCCTGGCTGATTAATGTCTTTTGTGACACAGCTACTAGCAGCTAATCTGACCTGCATGTAGCAATAAATAGTTGGTCAATGACACATTCATACAGAGATGGCAAAAGATGGGAAAGAAATAAACACTGACATGACGCATTGAAGTCATGATGGTCAAAATAGTATACACATGTAATTCTTGCAATCATCAAAACATTCACAAAGTTAAACATAAGTAAGAAGATAGTGTAAGGTGGAGTCAAATAAAAAATAACAGTTGAAATGCAGATAGATTATGTTACAAATCAAGTATATGGCTGAGAGCATCTTCTTGCATCAACCACGTGCTTTAAAATACCAAAACTTAACATGACTGTAGTCTAAAACCAAGAGCCATTTCCACTGGAAATGAGTTGTTTGCAGTGAAAATCCAAGTAAACTAGACTCAAGCTGGCTTGACCAAACACCTAAGGTTGCAATATATAAATATGATGACTATAAGTAAAACATCAGGTACCAGAAACAGCTAAACCCAAGTAGATATGACATTATCATCGTGCATTGCTCTTAGATTTGATTCAATATAACAGTTTGTAACCAGCATAAATAGTAAATTGGTAATGCAACTGAAAATAAGAAAAAGGGATGTCGAATTCTAGAGTAGCATCAGACTCAGTTACTACATCATTATCCATCACTCAATGAAGCTTATATTCACTAAGGACACTGCCCAGCCCTCAATTCCACCATATGCATCCAAGAAGGCTTGGTTAACCAGGGAAAAGAGGGAAAAGAAGGCCAGAAGATGCAATTTTTAACATGAGTAATTGTATGTCTAAAGCAAAAACTCTAACATAAAGAATGAATATATTACTATCACTGGTGAAAAAAACAAAAAAATATCTCATTTGCCAACTTCAACAAGACACAGTGATTGACTGAAATGGCTATGAGAGCAGTATTGAAGTAGGCAGCCCAAAATATGGGGGTCGCTACTACCAGATTGGACCCGCTGCTCTAGGACCTTGGTCCTCCTTCGCAGCAAAAAGAAAAGTAGGCAACCCAAACAATCTACTTTAGCTATAACTTTCAGAATCAAACTATACTTGCTTTGACAATTTTAAAATGCTAAATAATCATCTACCCCTGATTATATAAAATGAAATGAGAAGTTTTTCTAGAGACAGGTCAGCTGTGTATATGATTCATGTATGCCTCAGTACCAGCCAAAAAACAAAACCTACACTCAACAAATTTTTAGTTTTCCACAGAAATGCATCTGAAATAAATGCAAAATGAAGTCAACATGATGGTGCGATCATTAGTTACCCTTGATGCAATGCAGACATGATCACGGATTGCAACCCTTCCACCCAGTGTCACGTAGTCACCCATCCTGCACAGATTTAACAAAAAATATATTAACAAAGGCACTAAGTTTCCAACTCCATGTTAGAATTCAATGAAAACTAATACTTTAAGCCAACAGTTTGATCTTTCTTCTTCCTTTTGCTTAAGAGGAGGGGGGTCTGAAGAACTAACATACGTTACTGAACCTGCAATTCCAACTTGCCCACAAATCATGCAGTTCTTCCCGATTTGTACATTGTGACCAATCTGAAACCAAAAGACTACAAATGTGCATAAAGCAGAGGAGGTTGTAAATCAAAAACTGTTAATATACCTGAACCAAATTATCTATTTTTGTGTGATCTCCTACAATAGTATCTCTCCAACTGCAAGCCAAATTATCCTTGTTAAATTTAATTACTGCAAAGCATCTTTCTGTCCATATTCATGAATGACATATAATGACTCAAGGTAGCATTCAGATGATTAGTTACCTGCCTCGATCAATACATGTGTTTGCTCCAATTTCCACGTGGTTACCTATCTTCACTTTCAAATGCTGGAGAGGAGATGGGCAAAGAAGACATATCGTATGTGTTTGAGTACCAGAAAAGGAAATAGAGAATCAAGACCAAGAAATTTCCAAGATCATGAAATAGCATTAAGCACCTGTAACAAATCTTAGATACAGCCTTCAACTGTATTCATGCATGTTAATCTCCAATGGAAGGATTTGAAACAACTATAAAGATAGTCATATGAACACCAAAAAAGAAAAATTCAGTACCTGTGGCTTCTTCAACATATTACCCTGTTCATCCACCAAAAATCCAAATCCTGGTGAAAACAGCATAAATTACGATTCAAAACATGTCCAACACAATATCAGGTGCATATTCTGCCTCAAGAAATCTAACCTATCTGATGAGTTTTTTATGCATCATAATGGAGAACCCAGCCTTACCATCTTGGCCAATGCAGACACCATTGTGGATAACACAGGAATCACCAATTGTGCAATTTGTAAGAGCAACATTGTATCTATAAAGAAAAATGATAAAAAGAATATGAGATGGATACCTGAGAATCTGAAACATGTTATAATTATTCAAAGACGAACGTTAGTACATTACTGCAACTATCTGTTGGTGGAACAATAGAATCTGACCCTAACTCATATTAGGTGTCTAGTCATTTAGGCAATGAAAATCCTTTTACAATGTGTATGCTTGTGCCAAATACAGTTACTGCTGCAAACAAGTTGTGTTGTGTCTGCAGACCACCTGAGGCTTGACTCAGCATGAGGCTCCAACTTGAATTTTGATGCACAATAGAATGAATTAAGCTGTTGAAGTACATACAAGGACATGTTCACACAGCAAAATCCTAAACTCAACAGGCTTCAAAATATTACAAGATTTCTTCATGGGATAAGCCTAAGCAATAGATCATTGCTTGGACATGTATACGCACACTTGAACCCACATTCACAATTAATAATTGTTCCCAAGTCCATTCAAGTCTATGCAAAGATGCTTTACTTAGCTTGACTCAGCGACTCCCCTAACTCAAAGATTAACTAGAATCTGGAAGGTCAAAAGGGCTACATAGAAGTTATTAACAAGTCATCTTTCACATGTGGAAGGAATTAGTTCTATGCATGTGCAACTCAAACTTAATGAAGGTTGAGCAAATAATAGACAACTACAGCATGTTAAACCAAAAAAGTAGACGATTAACACAAATGCAGTCACTTTCAATCGCAAGCCAGAAGAAGAAACAATGGGACAAAGTATTCAAACACTATCATTTTCAACAATTATGCTGCCCATGCGGAAAAGCTCTAACAATGACTATAGACACATGGATCTATAGAGGAGAAACACCCTGTAGGATTTAGTTTCAGAAAAATCAACAGATCATGCTCAAAATTTTATCACAAAACTTAAATGATTTCTGCATCTAAGAAAGAGAAGTCATGATACCCTACTCTAGTAGATTGACCAATCGTGACATCTGGTCCAACGACAACCCCAGACCCAATAGAAACATTTTCACCCAAAAGAGACTGTGAATGAACTACTGCACCAAATTCTATGACCGCTGTTCGATGAATATATGCTGATTTGTGAAAAGTCCCACCACCATTATGCCACTTCTGAAAGTCTTGATCAACCACAGCATCATCATCTAAGCTTAAATAAAACATATGTAAACTTTGACTTAGTGAACTATATTACTTCAGACTGAAAAACTTGTTCTTGAAAAGAAACACATGACTAACTTAATGGTCAAAACCTCTGAAGTTCCTAAACCTGTATGACAGTATGCAATGAAATGCTATCAGTAGGTGAGACCCATTATGTAGGCAACATTTTCCACTTCCTATGCGTCATGTCAGTTACCTCAACACAGTTAGAATGTAGACAATTGCGATAAGGAAAATGCAGTTTAAAAAAACTTTCAATGTTTGAATTACAACACATTGAAGATGGAATCTCAATCAAAACTAAAAAACTATGGTAGTTAGAAAAGGACTTCAAAATAAGCAACCTAGAACCTTCTGTTATTCATTGCAAGCAACTATCAGACATTTCAATACTGCAATGAAGCTCTGTGAAGGAAGAAAGCAATCCAAATCAATTATTTAGGGAAATGTGTTCATAAATTGGTTATCTCCTTTGAGTGCAGGAAGATCGCAGTTAGGGGTTGCTCTTTTCAAACATGGAAATGAGACTCCCAGTTACATGAACTATGAAATATCTCTAGAATATAATGATCTGCACCACTTCTATGAAGAAACTGTAAAATATCTAATTAATTTTGTTTTATAGATGTTACTGAAAACTTTGGTGCAAACTGAAAAAGCTGCCTAACCAAATTAGAATGGTTAACTATCCAAAAGGCTTAGACTGTTAAAAAAGAGCTCATTAAATAGTTGAATTATGGTCAATATATAAAAGCTGAATAACTAACAAGACACTTTAAAGTACAATTGATCAGTATGGTTATCTGGTCAACCAAGTGAACAAAATTACTAAATGGTCAGTTTTAGTCTAGTTAGCATCTAAAAAAAAGTAATTCTCATCTTCCAAAGTCTCAAAGTTCTTTTTTCAGTTTTGTTAGTTTTAGAACACTTAAAAGTTTGCTGAATTTTAGTTTGAATAATACTCTCAGAGTTCATTTTTTGTTTGGCCAACTGAAATCAATAAAATCCAATCATAAAACATATAAGTCAGAATTTAGATACAAAATAGAAAACCAAACTCATTTTGAAGACCTGAATT